AGTAAGAGTTGCTAGTACTGTGACAAGTATATAGTTCCTCACCAGCTTCCCACCACTGATTGTATAAAAGCTGGACAGCCCAACAACCCCCAGAAGGGAAACAAACACAAATTGATCGCCCCCTGGGGGCCAGTTACAGTATGGATCATAAATCCCGTGCCCTCGATATTAGTGGATGGGACATGAGCCTCACTAAAACCTAAAAAGTGCAAATGAAATAAAAATCTTCCCGGAGGTGATTTCTGTCACTTTGGTAGATATTATCACACTATTGTGTGTACAGTGGCCATCTATCTGGTAAGGTTGTGCTAAACAAGTTATTTGATTATATAAAAGAGGTGTAGTTTGGATGATTTGACAGCTTTGATGGCAGCCCAATATGTCATTCAACCAATTGGTCGCTACTGCACAGAATCTGGTTGCCAAGATGGCAGCCGCCATATTCATGATATTTTAGCTTCACTTTTAGAGGGAAGTGTTGATGTGTTGTTCATATTTATATACAGTCAGTGCTTCCCACCCATGAACACTGCCATATGGGTTCAACTGGGGTATTTATTTTCTTTCTAAGGTGAGAAGATGAATACTGCTGACATGTCTGAGTGTGAAATGTGAAACCAGTTAGCTTAGCATAAAAACTGGAAGCAGGGGGAAACAGCTAGCCTGGAGTTAAAAAATACACATGAATAATTCGATTCAATTTCATTTCAATTCAGCTTTATTTGTATATTGCCAAATCACAACAAAACTCATCTGAGGACACTTTACAAAATAAGGTCCTTACTATTATTATTATTATTGTAGAGGAAAAACCCCTTGAGCAAGTACTTGGTGACAGTGGGGAAGAAAAACTCCCTTTCATGGAAGAAACCTCAGACAGACCCCGGCTCTTGGTGGGCGGCCTTCTGCCTCGACCGGTTGGGTATAATATAACCTGTAATGCTCGTTAAATAGCACATTGCGTCATGTTTGCTTCATCAGTACGCAGTACACACTCTTACTGTTTCCAGCCCACAGGGAGGTTGTCAGGTGACCAGCAGTGTAGCTGGAGACCCTCTGAGTGGATGGAGAAACTGTTGTTCATTAAGAGATAGTTATAGACTCAACTGTCATTTTGACATTTGAGTTTGTGTATGAATTAAACACACAAGATAAACTGTGTTAATGAATTAGATCTGATAATATATCACCCAGTTGTGTCGACCAATTTATTGGTCTAGCTCTACTTTGGACAGAGCCACGCTAGCTTTTTTACCCAGTTCTATGTTAAGCTAAGCTAACTGTCTCCTGGTTCAAGCTACATAGTATTTACCATACGGACATGAAAAAAAGAAAGCTAATAAGCATGGTTTCTAAAAATGCTGAAATATTTATCTAGACTGTCATTTACTTTTTATCTACTATACATGGTGGATAGGCACATACAGTAGCCTGATTCATGCTTGAGATGAAAGATAACTTCTAGCTATACAGAAACATACTTTTCATTTACCTGTGTCTGAGTGTTGAGTATTTTCTCAAGTCTTAGAAAAGGTTAGATAGAAATGTTCCTCTACTGCTTGATAAAACTGATGTTCAGAATATCCAAACAACTTGTCTACATCTTAGAGCTGTGAAAGTCCAGCTTTGTCCAGATAAAAAGTCCCCTACTTTGTGAATACGTGATTAAATTGTGCCTCTCGAGGGCATATGAATATTTAAGTACATTTATGCATACGTATTGATGCACAAGAGCATGTTGGTTAGGGGAACTGCAGTGTAACACAAGAATAATTACTTTTAACTCTTTCCTTTTCTCATTCTCTTGTACTTGATTTCCTTTAGGCCTTGCTGTATTTTTCCCATATAGTCATGAGTCATAACTTTGGAATATGCAAAATGCTCTGATCATTGTGTCCAGTGACCAGATCCTTTAGCATGTGGACAGTTAGTTCAGTCCTGAACCAGATGTCTGTTTCCTGGCACACAAACAAAGGGCCTTAATTCTCGATCACTGTATAAAGATGTGATAGCTGTGTATGAAAATGACATGTAGTAATGGTAAGTTAAGCCTTTTTTATCTGATGTAAAAAAAAAACAGCATGAAAAACTAATTTATACATAGTTAATAGTTTGTATAGACCAACAAGAAAAATATACAATATGAAAATCATTTGTATACAATGATGGAGTCATTGTTAATGGTAATAGTTGATGTTGCTATGGCAACAAAATGACAACATGGCTACCTTTCTATTATCCTAATTGTGAATTTTATCACATTAATTGAAATAGCATACAACACTAACTTATTCAAAAGGGAATGTCTAAATAGTTGGTCTTGTTACTGTGATGTGATTAATATTTTGTATGGAAAACTTAAGTCCTTGTAATATCCAAAGGTCCTTAGGGGAAATCAGGTGTTTATTTTGTTTTGTTTATTTGACCTAATTGTTTTTGTTTGTTTTGTTCTTGTACCTGGCGTTTTTGAAAAACAAGAAGGTTGTTGGCTTTTTAAGCAAACACCTATCTGTCAGGGAGGTAAAGAGGCTTTTGGACTAACTGAAAGATCTTTGTCTTTTCTGTAAAATCAAACAAGTCAGTGATTCTCACTGCTCACCTCCTGCTTGCAGACTGGGTGGCCCTCGCTCAGTCACTGTGGAGGTGCAAGCTTTCATTAGTGAGCTGGTTCAGTTTTGGACAAAAGTGGTCCAGAAGTCTGTGTCTGCCCAGCTGTGCTGGGTGATATTGATCCTTGCTGAGGTGTATATGAATGTGTGATGTTCACCTTATTTGCACTTATGTACATAACTATGTCAAAATACTCAATTTATTTTGAATAAATATAGATAAAAGAGTTGATTAAAAATCATATCAATGTATTGTTAATGATAGGTTTCTCATTTTATTACAGTATAAAACGTTTGCTTTAAGGCATGTGTCCTTTTCTTTTTTTTGCTAGAGCCCTGTTCCTTAGGAAGCATGACATAGTTGTAAATTATTAGTAGTTTGCTTGAAAGAAAAACTTTTTTTTCTGTTCATTTCCTGAGAGGTTTTTTGCTCAACAGCATCAGACCCTGATATCAAACACTAGAGGTGGATTAAAAGAAATAGTCTGGAATACCTGTACTTAACCTGTACTAACCTTGTTCTTTAATGCTCATCATGAGTTCCCAAATGAAGGTGCACTTTCTCCCTCCACTAATGCACCAAACTAAAGCACAGAGCAGCTCCACCTGGAGGCTAAATGCAGTCAGAAAAAAAGAGGAGCAGATATGAAAATCAGACTATAGAAGGACATGGATGTGAGATGTCCTCACAAGATATTAGGTTCATGTTGATTTCTGTCATTTTGTGAAATGGATTTTTTTACTGCCTTGTTGTCATTATCCAAAACAACAAAAATCTGAATTCTCCTCAGGATTTTATTCAAAATTGCAAACAGTTTGGCTTTCCAATGTTACTCCCGCAGCAGCAGCAACATCCCTACACAACTCTGTTCCTCCAAATTTGGACACGTGATGCTTTTCAATTGCTCTTAAAGCCAGAGATTTTGTTGCCATGGCACTTGTCCTAGTGGTGGATTGACTGAGTCATCCTGATGAACTGGTTCACAGCCTTCCAAGTGTTGAATATTGACTTTGAAGCATCTGTGTGTCTGTACGACTTGTACCCAAAACTCACCAAAGCTTCTCTACTGTGACTCACCAGCTCTCATCATCACTGTTGTCTTTACTGAGGTCTTCACATACTCTGGGTTTCTAGTGATCAATAAGTGAACAAGATTGTGATTTTGTTTTGACATGGATTTATTGTTTCAGTTATTTTAAAATGGTTGAGTTGTAATTGTGCCTTTATCATCTACAGTTTTCCCTTTACATGTTACATTTAAAGTGACGTCAAGCACCATGTGTTGAGTGTGTGTAAAACCTATCTATTTAAAATCCTTTGCTTGTGAGCCATTATTAAATTGGGTACAGTCACAAAATGAATAGCAACCTGTGGGAAGTGATGAGGGCTGAACACTGTTCAGGACTAAGCCATATGAAAAACCCTCTCTGACACTGTAGGACAGACTTAAAAGCGACGCCTGTTTCTTAGTCACCTATTGTTTCACTCTGTTTTCTGCTTGTGGTGCTTGTATATGCGACTGTGCTACATGCCAGTTTCTTTTGCAGTGTATAGCTATTAAGAGTAAGTTAATGTGCCTATGATGAGTTCTGCTATTTCTGTTTGACCTTTAATAAAACATAATTGTGATCCCTTTGGAGTGTGTTTTGTTGTTCATTATTTTTTTGCGTCACCTTTAAAGAGACTAACATTTATGTTATGCATTGCAAAGATTTTATATGTATGTGACTGGAATATATTTATATGAATGGAGGTTAAATTAACAGGCTTGGATGTCTGGCTTGGAAGTCCTGGATGTCTCATGAACACAGAGTTGCAGTATATTAAAATATGGCATAAGAAAGTATATTTCTAGTCAGGTAAACCAAGCTGTTTTGGACATTACTTGTAAAACACACATGGACCAACGCCTATATCAAACTATCGTAGAAAGTTTAGCTTATTTAGGCCTTTGCATGTTTGCATATCAAACCAAAGTTATTTTTCACAAAACTTTTGTAATTTTTTAAAGATCTTTTCCAAGCATTAATATGTTAAAAGGAAAGACAAAAAATGAATCATATCAACCCTAACATATTAAAATGTTATAAAGTAACATAAACGATTCAAACCTATAATCCGGTCATTTGCACATGCCAAAATTACGGTTTAATCAAATTCTATTTTTAGTTAATTAAATAAAACGTAACATTGCATTACCATTTGAAGAGAGGCTCATTTTAATGTTTGTTTGCTGCAGTGACTGCATTTACAAAACATGCAATTTGCCCAGGGTTGCACAAAATTTGCATACAACTGTTATATAGATCTTTATTGCAAAACCTGTAAAGCTTTGTCCAGTTGTGTAGCTGTAGAAAAAGTCTTTTATTCTGAAACAATCACACCGGACGTCTTGGTGCTCTGTGCGGAAGCGATATTGGTAGCTACCGGAAATCAGTTTGAGGAAAAAGATTTTCTTTCGGTTATTAAACCTGTCCAGCACATATACTAGAGCAGCAACAAACTGTAGCCAATTAACCCTCGGATTCAAGTATTAAATCTAAGGTTTGTCTGTCGATAATACGCCCGGGTGCCGAGGCGGAACCAGAACCAGAACTAGACGTACGGACAGAGCCAGCGCTGCATTTTGCGACACCGGCGGGCTGGTGTTTGTGTGCCGGAATTGGCATGCTGCTGATAGGGAGAGTGTAATGTATGGCCGTGACTTGTTGTCTATAGCTGGACAGCATGTTCGCTGACGAGTCCCCAGTACTTGTGGTTCATTAGGTCGGATGTAACTAAAGGTTTGAGGCTGGAGCATGGCACAGCGTGAATTTAGCCAGACGGGAGGTAGCCTTAGCGCTAGCTAACACCTGAGCTAACGGACATTAACTTTTACTCGCTATCCAACTAGACAACGTAAGAAAAGTATGAGCGGTAGACCTGGGCTTATATGAATGATATGAGTTTACATCGCTTACAATTTGTCAGTTCCCCAGTTAGCTCGTTTAAAGGTCTGATAAATGTTTTTGGAGCGAGTATAGCGGTGTAGCTAAGTCGTTAGCTGCTAAGTTAGCCTGCCTCAACCGCCCCCATGAAAGAGTACAAAGTTGTCGTGCTGGGCAGCGGCGGCGTAGGCAAATCTGCACTCACCGTCCAGTTTGTCACTGGCACCTTCATCGAGAAGTACGACCCGACCATCGAAGACTTCTACCGGAAGGAGATCGAGGTGGACTCGTCGCCCTCTGTGCTGGAGATCCTGGACACGGCGGGGACTGAGCAGTTCGCCTCCATGAGAGATCTGTACATAAAGAACGGACAGGGGTTCATCCTGGTCTACAGCCTGGTCAACCAGCAGTCATTCCAGGTACCCGGTGTGCAGCTCACCTTACACATCTGAAAGCACTCACACCTGCGAACGGTTCAGGGCGTCTGAACGCTCTGTTGGGTTGCAAGTTATGCGTACATATGTGCTGGTAATCAAAGCCATTTACCGTCCCATTTTAAATGACTTAAATCAATGCAGTTCAGTTAAGTTGTATTTATATCGCGCCAAATCACAGCAAAAATCATGTCAAGGGACTTTATATAGCAAGGTCTAAACCATTATTATTATTAGTAGTAGTAGTATTTTCACCTGGCAATTATTGTTTCTATCAGTTGTTGGGTTGTAAAATGTCAAAAGGATAGTTGGGAAAAAAAATCTCAATCACAACTTCATTGAGTCTTCTAATGTTTTGTTTTGTCCTACTAAAGTCCAACTTGTATTACACAGGGCAAAAATAGGAAACAAATCCTGCCATTTGAGAAGCTGGATCATAATAGTTGTTGATTGATTAGGCAACAGTGTCAAATATTTGCTGTATATAGTTTCTCAGTGTGAGGATTTGATGAATTTCTTTGTCACATATGATAGTAAACTGAATATCTTTTGATTTTGGAGTGAATGTCAAACAAAAACAATTTCAATACATCATCATGAGCTGTAGTGGATTGTACCAGCCCTTTACTCTCTTCTCACAAACAAAAAGGATTAATTAATGAAAGTAATCTTTAAATAAATCAATAATAAACATAATTGGTTTCAGACCTAGAACTGACAAAAAATTGTGATGTATTGCATATATGAGTGTCTGCACTTATGTGTATGCACTTCCTTTTTGCATTGTATTGTGGGAAAGAGGTTTACATCAACACCACATTAAGTATTCATAGTGACTTTTTTGTTTATTCTTGTGTTTTTACTTTTCCATAATTTAACAAACAATATGTAGTGTTTAGGTGGGACACAACAATAGTGTCATGCTCATTTTTGTCCCTTATAGATAGCCTTATTGTTTTCATGAGAAACTATGCTCTCATGCTTCTCTCTTTACATCTTTCAGGACATCAGACCGATGCGAGACCAAATAGTACGAGTGAAGCGTTTCGAGAAGGTGCCGTTGATCCTGGTCGGGAACAAAGTCGACCTAGAGTCTGAGCGAGAGGTTGCCGGGTCAGACGGAAGAGCTTTGGCTCAAGAGTGGGGCTGCCCTTTTATTGAAACTTCAGCCAAGAGCAAGACCATGGTGGATGAGCTGTTTGCAGAGATTGTCCGTCAGATGAATTATTCCGCACTGCCAGAGAAGCAGGAACAGTGCTGCACAGCCTGCGTGGTACAGTGAGGAAGAGGTACGAGTGCTGTGATTACCATACCCTCTAGTACTGTTGCATACTTGGGCCATGCTATGCAGTTTACAAGGACAGCACAGTTGGCCGCTCACTAATTTTAAAAAATGTGATAATATGTCCCTGCACAGCCTGTGTAAAAATGGTTCACAAGCTGAGGAGAAATGTGACACACTGATGACCGTGTGGCGTTTCAAAGCAGCGTGAGGGAGAGGAGAGATTTACTTCGAAGTGAGAAAGATGAGTGGGTGCTGCTGCTCGTCACAAACCGTTGGTTTAGCTTGTTATGATAAGATCACAGCAAATATGTGGCACAAAGGACACAACTGTCTGAGCAGCTCGGGGCTGAGAGAGGAAAAGGCCCTTAATGAAGCAGATAGTCCTGTGAGCTGCACCGTAGAAAGAGGAAAATGTAACATCCTGAAGAAGAAAATATGTTCCAAAACAGGAAGTTCACTTTAGTCTTTGTGAGACATGTTGCCTGTGTTAACCACTGCCAAAGCAGATACACTTTCTTTCCTGTTTTACCCCTTTAAACCTGTCATATTAATTTGCTTGGTATTATTCTCTCTCTTTTTTTTTTTTTATAGATGCACAATTTGTTTGGATCATCACAAGCATTTTGATGAACCTGGAGACAACCTAACATTTGCCCTACTGACAAAAAACTTACCGCAGCTGGTAAGTTTCTGTTCACAATGATGGTTTTCAGTCTGTCTCAGAGCATCTGACCGGAAAGACGTCAGTCTTATTTTTGATATTGCAACTTTTAGAAGACATTTCTGCTGCAACCTTAACGGCCTTTGCGATGACCCAGAATGGAGTCAGACAGACAGACAGACGGACTTATAAGAACGGCCACCTGTGAATTTAAGTCTTTTTTGTTTTCCTTTCACCCAGAAGTATCCCTAAAATAATAAGCAGGAGTGTTTGTGAGATCGCAGCTTCTTTTTTCAAGCTGCTTTAATCACTATAATATATTTTATGTTTACTTGTATTATGTATTTCATAATATTTGAAACATTTTGACTTTTAAGTGTGCATACTTTGACCAGTTTGCTGCCCAGGTATACTGCTTGCTTTATTTTGAAAATCTTGTCTAAAATATTTCTTCTAACTGACATAAACTACAGCAAGATGTACCCTACAGGATGTACTACTATGTAGATTGTTATCACTGTAGCCACCAACCCACTCTGGTGCACTGCAGTTCAAGAATTTACTATTTTTATTAGCACAGTAGCCTCAAACAGCTAAACACATCTGAGAACATGCATGCTCAAAACAGAAAATGTTCTGCTAAAGCCACATGAGGTAATATGGAAGAGTTGTTTTTGTTTTGTCTTTTTTTTTTGCCTGAATTCTGTCAAAGTCTCGTGACAAGGCATGAATCACATGGACACAGGTCTTCCATTTTCAGTTTTCTTCAGGATCCTATGTAGGGGAATGATTTTGGAATGACAAAAGGAAGCTCACAGTGCATATTTGTGTTTGACTACATGCTGTATGTTGCTTTAAATCCGAGAGATGCTGATTTGTTATCACTTAACTCCCGCTGTAGTGTGGATTGGTCAAAGCTCTGGCACAGTTAATAAGATTTAACTTTATATTTTTCTTTTTCTTATAGTAAGCTATTTATTAAAATCTAATGACCTGGGTAGTGTGTTTTAAACATTTAATTTTTTTACTAGTTTTTACTTTTTGTGACTTTTCAGGATTTATAGCATTTTTTTGTTGGGTTTTGTTTATTGAAGCTGAGAATTTAACAGAGCCTTAAATAATTTCTCTTGCACACTGGTCTCTTGTTTCTTTTTATTTTCAAAGATAAACCCTATCATCATAATTTCATAATAAACGTGCTAGCCTTCATGCTTTTGTCATAACACACAGTTACGGTATCATTTTTGATTTACGCACAACTGCTTTTGTGTGATCAACGTGAGGTTTCGTCCTGCTGACTTCCATCTGATAATTTCTAATTTTGGCTTCTGGAAACTGGTAACAAAATGTGGAACAAAACATAGTCTCAGAAGCACATCAAGGAGTTAACATTAGCTCCACCTTTACCAGCTGCAGCATTAAATTGATGACTACAATAATATGTTATTAATTATAAGTTCAGTAGTAAACTCTACAGTGTGTTTGTAATCTGTCACCATAAAGTCAAGCACACAGTACAGACTACACAGAGCAGCTTAATCATATTTTGCCTAGGGCTCCAAGACCCAACCAGACATATTACCTGGCTCTAGATGTGTTGTGCCAGGTAGTTTGTGAGATCCCATTAGCTTCAACAAAGCAGGTGCTAGTCTTTTGACCAACTGCAAAAACAATAACAATAAAAACATGCAGCAAGTCTGTATCAAACCAATAATTAAATAATAATCAGATGTATGGTAAGGTGTTTAAATGCCACAGTATATTTCCCAATATGGCGGCAACTGTGTTTCAGTGGGTAGAGCAGTTGTCTCCCAACCAGAGGGTTGGAGGTTCGAATCACGCTGCCTGTAGTCCACATGTCGAAGTGTCCTTGGGCAAGACACTGAACCCCCAAGTTGCGCCCGATGGTTAGAGCTATCAGTGTGAGTTGGTGCCACACATGGCTGCCTCGGTTCTGTACTGGAAACAAATTCTTTGTGTGTGTAACATACTTGGCCAAATAAAGGTGATTATCCTGATTATTATCCTGAAGTACTTGAGGTAGCATAACATTCTCTGCAATTATTAAACTCTTTTTAAAACAGTTTTACTTCCTGATCTCACTGTTGTAGGCTTTACTATTTATCTGTGCAATCTAGACATTGTGCCCTGTGTGCTGTTTGCATGTTTGAATCATGAATAATGATGCACTCTGATCATCATCTACAATTATTAATGAAAAAGAACAAATTTGTTTATCTTCAGGGACATTAGATTTTTATTATATTGTAACTAAGTCATGTTGCTTTATAATTCATGTCGTACTGTGTAGAGAATTAGCTCAGAAGCATTACCACAGAGATTAAAGGTGTAGTGATGCATTACAACAAGCTGTAAATTGGTATTTGTCCTCATTGCGATCTCAGACTGATGTATAAAACAGTTACCCCTCCAGGCCCAGAGGTGGCAGCACGACATCTTTACATCCGGGCATCAGCGCTGGAGCGGAAAGAGCTGATGGATCTATGGAAGGTGTTGTAAACTGCAGTGTGTTTAAAATACCGAACAACAAAGCTGAGGACATCTTTGCTAGAGCAGATATGAAGACGGTGTTCGTAACTGTTGGCACTACGAAGTTTGATGAACTGATTGAAAACGTCACATCTAAAGAGGCCGTTCAGGTGAGTGAAGTTAACTCCAGGTTAGCGTTAACCTTCATTTATGCCACAGAAGTGAACTGTCAGTTTCCTTAATAACGGTGGTGATGGAAGTACTCAGATTCTTTGCTTAAGTAAAGTTAGCAATACCACAGTGTACAATACTGTATTACATGTAAGAGTCCTGTATCCAAAACATTAAAGCTGCATTAGCCAACTTCGCCCTATAATTTTCGACCGTTAAGGGCAAAGTGAAAGTCAAAACAAACTCCAGCAGTATCCCGTCTTCTGCAGTGTTATCCCCGACACAAAACTTAATTTGCTAATGTAGGAAAACGTTGTGGTTTCTGCTAATTGGACAAGAAAACAGTAACGTCGCAGTCATTAGAAATGACTGCAACTTACAGCCAAATTAAACACAATAGTGGAAAGTAACCAGTACTTTTATTCACGTGCTGTGCTTAAATACACTTCTGAGATGTATATCTTTTATTTGAGTATGTCTTTTTAAAGTGAGAACTTGTGACTATAATAAGTTATTCTATTTCGTATAGGCTTCGCCCTCTAAGAGCTGTCGCTATTGGGTTTACCTCTCGCGCATGCGCAGCCCTGAAGACATTCTTTCGTGCCCTGCACTGGGCTATCCCCAAACAGGTCTGCTGCGATGGCATAACTACCACTGTGACCAGCGCCTTCTTTTTCTTCAGCAGTCTAAAAAGAAACATAATGGGTAATTACATTCCCTCTTATCAATGGCTAAGAGCCGTTCCTCACTGCAAGACTCCAGCACCGCGCAGCCGTCACCGTGTGCCCAGGCTGCCATTCTGGCTTCATAATATGTTGACACACCGAGCCGACTCTCTCCCCCCAAGCCTGCCTCTTGGTGCTTGCTTGGCCACAGCAGAGAAGCGCCAGGCGGAGGTGACAATGTCAGCGGCTAGGCTAAGCTAACCAAACCACGGTGACGGTCCCTTTGCGTGTGCCCCCATGGACTTCTCGGCGTAAGTGGGCCCGAGTCCAGTGATTCACTCCCTGCCATCTTTGGCTCCCCCAGCTCTCCCTCGATCCATTGGTTGACATGGATGCCGGCAGAACGAGCCTCCTCCGGCTCAGCTGCTTGCTCCCGCTACCGGTTAGCCTCTGGCTTTCGGGACTCTGCTGCGCATTCTGCGGAGATCATCAAAGGCGGCAGAACGCGAGGGCATTAATCTCTCCCGCCGGCTGCCCCGCTTCCCCCCATCGGACATGATGGGTGACTTCTACAGACGAAGCTGCGGAGCTAGCACTCCCCGCCTGGCCAACTCTGCTTCCCGCTGTTTCCGCAGCTGGCCCCAAGCACATCCTTTATCTTGCTTCCCAGGCAATGTTTTTTGGCAGCAGGCGGGCCACTCATCCACGCAGGGAACCAGGTCACTACCCGCTCCTGGACCGCGTTCATTAACGCACATCCAAGGCAGGTGCAGACTAACAATGTGACAAAAAGAAAAAGCCTGAGTGGGGCGCTCATTTTATGAGTTCTCTCCACAACGGAGGACGCAGCCCGCACTTGGACTCTCTTAGCATGAAAGCAAGGCTGTCACCCGCCAGGCAAGAAGTCCTGTCATCCCTCCTGCAGCACGTTGTTCCCCACATGAGAGTAACGGCTCTGTCATGCTTTTACTGGTAACAATGGTGAGTGCGGATCACGAGGTGGACCTCAGCCCAACAAGTGGAGGCTGAATCCGTCCCTCATTCAGACACTGTGGGACAGGTTTGGCCGAATGGTGGCAGACCTGTTCGCAGTACACGGGAACACGCAGTGCCACCTCTGGTTCTCACTGAACATTCAAGATGAACGGCTGCGCATCCTCCTGATACCCCTGGAGGACACAAGCTCAGCTTGGTTCCCAACCATGATTCAGCTGCTGGCAAGAGAGCCTTGGCAGCTCCCCAGGTGTGATCCAACGGCTCCCCAATGCTAGGTCAACGGCTGTGGGCCTGGCCCCTGAACGGGAGTGACTGGAGAGTCATTATGCCGGAGCCGTCTTACGCTGCAAATGGTCAGTTTTTCAACACTGGTGCATGGAGAGGGGCACAGCTCCCACTTCCTGCCCACTATCTCAAGTGCTGATTTTTCTACAGACCCTGGTAGATAGAAACCTGCTCTGTTTACTCTGAAAGAGTATGCCACTGCCATCTCCTCATGCCATGAAGGTTTTGGTGAGCGAACTGTTTGCGCACACCCACTGGTGAAACTTTCTCAGGGGTGTAGGCAAAGGCCTGTGATGTGTTCAGTGGGATTTACTTCTGGTTTTACATGTGCTCAGGGAATCCCCCTTTGAGCCCATAACACAAATCTCTCTCAAATATTTTTCTCTGGAAACAGCATTTCTCTTAGCCCTAACTTCGGCTAAGCGATTGGGCGATCTGTGCGGACTGTCTGTCTCACTGGTGTGCCTTCTCATATGTGAAGACAGCCTATGTGTCGAAAATAATATCGTCTTTTTGATCCAGAGTCATTAACTGCATAGGTTCTTTCCTCCGCCCCACAGAGATGAGTCAGAGAAAGAACTTCATGTTCTCTGTCTGGTGCCCGCGCTGTCCCATTACGTGGCACGCACGGCAGCTGTCAGACAGACACAACTGTTTTTTCATTACAGGAAACATTCTCTTGGACAGCCTTTAACCAAACCATGGCTGTCTCACTGTTTGAGGCTATCACACAGGCTTACATGTCAGCTGGGTGTGATCCCCCACCTGACATCAGAGCCCACTCCACAAGGGCTATTGCATTCTCCACTGCCCTCTTTAGAGGCATGGCGGTGGAGGACATCTGCACGGCAGCCTCATGGGCCTCTCTGTGTCCTTTGACCCGATTCTGCCTTCGGGACGCATCTGAGTTTCCACTGGCTTACTCGGTCCCGATATCGCACAACCACCACCGAGCACTGATTCCACACG